GTCCCCTCTCTCAGAGCTTTCTGACCCTTGGGATCCGGGTGGCCCAAGAGGCCAGAAGGCTGCTCCTTGTCAACAGAAAGGGGATGGAGCTGGATAGGTTTGGAAAGAGGTAGGTGGGGGACAAGAAGGGATTGATTAAACTGTCCCAGAGCCTTCCCATACCCCTTCCTGATCTTCCCCACAGAGCCCTTGTGGAATCCCTGACTGTAAGGTAGAGGAAAGACCTCTCCTCTACCTTCCCTTGTGCTCATTGCACAAGCCCATGAGCAGCCCTGCTCCAAGAAAAGGAGGGAGCTGGAGAAAACAGGACAACAAGGTAAGGGTTTCCCCGGGGAAGGCCTCGCTTGAGTTTAAGTCCCAGCCAGGAACAACCCCAGCCCAGGACACTGCTGCTATTGTCTTCAACAACACCGGGATTGACTGGGTGCCCAAGATGCTTTCATTTCTCTTCTCTTTGCTCTATTTGTTTGCCATAAGGCAGGGACCATTTTTGTTTCCTTTTGGCAGCAGCTACAGAGAGTTTGAATATATCTAAAAGATGGTGAGCAACTGAATTTCCACTGGCCAGCCACCTCTCCACAGGGCAGAAGCCAGAAGAGCCAGGCAGGTGAAGGGGTCGCCTGCCCCGCCTCTCCCAGGGATGCTCCGTGAGGGAAGTGGAGGAGAGAAGGAAGGGGGCTTTCAGTACCAATCAGGGAGGACTCTGGGGAGGTGTTGGGCAAGAACACCTGGAGTTCTGGAAGCTCGCCAGGTCAGACAAAATTTGATATCTACTACTCCAGGAACCCCTCCCCCGGTAACACCTCACCCTCACCTGCTGGCAACAGCTCCTGAGCCAGGAAGGGGACTCGCTGCCAAGACTGCCCTCCAAGCTTTTTCCCAAGGCTGGAGGCTGAACTTCTTCCCAGTCCGTCACCACATTACTCTTCCTATCCTGCTCCCATCCATGGAGGTGGCGGGGAGGGGGTTCGTGGGGAATTGTCTTTAGCTGGAGCCCCAAGAGCAATCTAGGGGCCTGCACAGCCTAGTTTATAAGCTGTTTCTATTTCCAGAGAACCACAGAAAGCACACTTTCTTTATCCACAGCCCTCCCTACCCCTAAGGAGGTACATAAGCCAGGCCTTTGTATGCTGTTTTCTAAATAGTTAAATGTGTCTGAGGAAGATGGAGTGGGTGTGGGAAGGACCACCCAGACACAAGGTCTAGAAAACTTAGCTGTGATGGAGCTCACAGGGAAGGAAAGAGGCTGGGCAGGAGAACACATTCTACTTGAAGCCGGGATGACTTGTCCTCGACCTGAGCCATCTGCCGCCACCCAGAAGGACTGCATCAGGGGCTTTTCTGCTATAGATAAATGGGGGAGATTCTGCTTTGATTCTCAGCCTCTCTTCTTACTCCACCTTCAAGGTAAAAGGCCATTTTCTGATCTCTGGTTGCAGCCTCTGACACTAGAGACTTGACAGGTGCTGTTGGCCTAAAGCTGCCTACAGGGAAGGGGGTGTATAGTCCCAGGCTTGGCCATTAAACATAACGGATGGCGGGGGGAGGGGTAGGTGGTGGTGCAGGGCTCCTTGCTTCCCTCTTCCACATCTCAGGGTTACTGACTCTGCCGGGCCCACATAACAGAAGCCGGCCCAAAGCATGAGTGAGAAGCCTGGGGGAATTCCAAGGAAAGAAGGCCTGCCCTAGTTCCTCCCACATGGACCCTACCCTGAAGCCAGGCTGGTCACTTTCCAACACTGTGTATGTGTGTGTGTGTGTTTTACCTCACTTTTCCTGGCACTGTTCCTCAGCCACATATATTACCTCATTTAATCCTTATGTCAGGGGCGCCTGGGTGGCTCAGTCATTAAGCGTCTGCCTTCGGCTCAGGTCATGATCCCGGGGTCCTGGGATCAAGCCCCGCATCGGGCTCCCTGCTCGACGGGAAGCCTGCTTCTCCCTCCCCCACTCCCCCTGCTTGTGTTCCCTCTCTGGCTTTCTCTCTTTCTGTCAAATAAATAAAATCTTAAAAAAAAAAAAAATCCTTATGTCAATGTCAGAGATCATATGACTTGCCCAAGCTCTCATAAGCAGACCTTGAACCAATGTCTTCTTTTCAATTTGGTAATCCTCCCACCTCTCCCATCCAATCCCTCTAACTTAAACCTCCCTGAGTGTTCCATCTCACAGTAGTTTCCCCTATGGTCTTTGTGCTCTCCCTTAGGCTACGAACTTCGAAAAAGCAGGTACCCTGCAAATCCAGAGCTTAGCAAAGGGGTGGACACATAACAGACCTTAAGGGATATTTGTCTCAATCAGTAATTAGATTTACTCCTTGGTGATAATGAATTAATTAGATTGCTTTTCTTTTTTGTTATTCTTTGGAGAACTTCTCTGGTTTGAGCCCAAAACACATTCCCAGATCCAGTGGAAGTGACACTGGACCAGGCTGTTCCACAGTGAAGCAGTCCACGTATAGAGAGAGAAGAGGAGCTTCTGCCTCCCTTCCTGTTCCCCGGGGTCTGTGGCTTTAGCTTGCCCTGGCTGAGCTCAGCTGCACTCAAGAAATCACTTTGTTGGGGAAAAGAAAGGTCATCTTGGAGCTTGGAGCAGCCAGAGGGCACTAGGCCCTGGGTTGGAATGGTTAGAACTACAGACCAGTTTCTCCCACACTGGGTCTTTGGACTTTGGCAAGAAGTTTTCCCAGCAGGCAATCCCTACCCTGGAAGCATCCACAGAAATGCTGGGCTTCACCACAGTTGTTAGCAATGGTGGGCCTGTGATAGAAGCAGAGTCCCAAGGCCCAGGATTACAAATCTTTCTCCGTGGACTTGGTCTTGCAGAGTCTGGTTAGAGGGAAGGAGGTCTCAAGAGCTACTTACAGCAAAGTCTGTCTGCTTGGGTACCCAGCCATACTCAGCTGTAGCCCCAAGATCAATCCAGGGGCCCACACAGCTAGTTTAGAGGTTATTTCTATACCCAGAGAATTGCTGAGGGTACACTTCCTTTTTTTTTTTTTTTTCCAGAAAGATTTTATTTATTTATTTGACAGAGAGCAGGAGAGACAGCAAGAGAGAGCACAAGCAGGGGGAGGAACAGAGGGACAGGGAGAAGCAGGCTCCCTGCTGAGCAGGGAGCCCGATGCGGGGCTCCATGCGGGGCTCCATGCGGGGCTCGATGTGGGGCTCGATCCTGGGACACCGGGATCATAGCCTGAGCAGAAGGCAGCTGCCTAACTGATTGAGCCACCCAGGCGCCCCTGAGGGTACACTTCCTTGGATCCTCCTATTCCAGCATCTTCCCCAGATGCCGAGGATACACTTTCTTTATCCACAGCAGGACAACAGGGAAGAAGAAAGTGCTAAGCACATATGCTGCTTTTAATGTGTAGTTACTACTTGGCCAAAAGCATCCTGCATGTATTACTTCCTCCATAGGCATTTTGCTGGATGAATGGACCAAGAGATGTGGCAAACCTTTTGGGTGATGTTCATCCCCTCAGCCTAAAATTTCCCTTTGCACAGGACGGAGACTCTGGAAATAATGTTAATTGACACGTTTTCAAAAAGCAATTTGGCAATGTGTAGCAAGAGCCATAAAAATGTTCATACTTTTTGACCCAACACCCTCACTTCTGGGAATCTGTCCTAAGGACATTCTCCAAATGATTGATACAAACACTATGTAGTAACATGAAATGTTAATGATGTAATGATAAACAAGTCTGGAGGAACTGACCAAGAAACTGGCCAGAGATAGTAGTAGTTGTGTTAGAGTAATGAGTTTATTGGAGATTCTGTTTCTCTTTCCCAAACCTTGCATGTTAGAATATTGATTTTACCCTCCCCTGACACTCAGGGTTAATCATTCAGAAACCTGGAAGAAACAGGACTCAGGACAGTTGATGAAAATTTTTTTCTTTTTTTAAAGATTTTATTTAGTTATTTGACAGAGAGAGACACAGCGAGAGCTGGAACACAAGCAGGGGGAGTGGGAGAGGGAGAAGCAGGCTTCCCGCTGAGCAGGGAGCCCGATGTGGGGCTCGGTCCCAGGACCCTGGGACCATGACCTGAGCAGAAGGCAGACACTTAACAACTGAGCCACCCAGGCGCCGCAGTTGATGAAAATTTAATAAAGGAACTAGTCTCTGTTTCCAGTCCTTTCCACTCTGGTTTCTGCAACTCTCAGTGACTCACTCAGCCATTACTGAGCACCTACTTAATTGTCTAGTGAGGGAGGCAGAGTCTCAAGTACATAAGTTGTGTCATAAATGCAATAATAAATAGTGTGTCACAAGGAGCACAATGAAAGAAGCAACTGTCAGGAGGGAGGTGTGAATCAAGGAAGGCTTCAAAGAGGGGTGATTGGCTCATGTTCAGTTTTGAAGGTTGTCTTCCAAGACAACAGGGCTACAACACGTACTAAGGCAGAAACGCCTGGAATGCCATGGTGCCTTTAGGAAATTAAATCTAACTCTGCAGGGCTGGAAGGAACATTGAGTGGCTGTGAAGGAATTATGGGAGAGAAGGCTTTAGTTAGATCATGCAGGGCTCCGTGCTCCAAATGGGCTTTGTGTTTTGGAGCTATCATCAGATTTGCATTTTAGAGAGATGACTCTGGCCTCGGTGGAGAGTGGACTGAAAGGGACGAGAATGGAGGCAGAAAAGAGTGAAATCATTGGCGTCTCCTGGCTTATGCTTGGCCAGCGCCGTGCCTCCCCGGGATCGCCCTCCCTTCTCCTCCCTGAGGGCCCCGCGGGCGGCCGGGGAAGCGAGGCGTGGGGTGGCCCTGCCTGGGTGGTCTCCTGCCCCGCCCCCACCCGCGGCGCCGTCGCCTAGCAGCGGATCCGGCCGCGCGGCTCCGGGTAATTTGCGGACCCCTCAGCCAATGGGAGGGCGTCGTCCCGGCCCGCTCCCTTTTTCTGGAGCTAAGGACGCCTCCTCCTCACTGCGTTCTCCACCTCCAGCCGCGCGGGGCGTCGCGGGCCGGTAGCTCTGCCTGCACGCGGGGCCGACTGCGGCACCCCAACGCAGCCGCCGCGGCACGCCGGCACCCCACCCTCACCCACGCCGCGCCTAAGCGGCCCCGCGGAGTCCCGACGCGGGCCTCCGCGGTACCCGGGTACCAGGCCAGCTTATGGAGAATCCCAGATAACGCGGGTTGGGGGCGCCCACGCCCCCCATCCCCGCCGGCATGGCTCGGCCGCCGCCACTCCAGGAGCTGCCCCCTGGCTATACACCCCCAGCTCGAGCCGCATCACCCCAGGTGAGTGGACGGGAAACCAGAGGGAGAAAGACTGGGACCAGGTCTTGAGACCCCCAGGTCTGTCACTCTGGGAGGTGTGATGTCTCTAAAGCGCAGGGTTATAGCCCACCCCTTAAGGGTGTGTGTGCGTCTTTCTGTGTCTTCTCGGCATCTGGCCGGTGAGACTGTGTCTGGGTTTCACCTCTGTCCACCTGAGAACAGATGTGTGCATATGTATCTTATTCTCAGAAAAGTATCCGTGCCTTCCTCCGGTATGTATGGGGGGCGGGCGGGAGAGACAAGGAATAGAGTTAAATATTTTCCATCTTTGGGACTCTGTGTAGGTCCTACCTGTCCTGCATCCAGAAACCAAGAAGCTGGGGCTTGGCAGAGGGTGCACATAAGGAGAAAAGGGGAGGATTTCATGCATTGTTACAGTAATGCCTGGCTGACACTTCTCTTTCCATCCCAGATCCTAGCTGGGAGCCTGAAGGCTCCACTCTGGCTTCGTGCTTACTTCCAGGGGCTGCTCTTCTCTCTGGGCTGTGGGATCCAGAGACACTGTGGCAAAGTGCTGTTCCTGGGCCTGTTGGCCTTTGGAGCCCTGGCACTGGGTCTCCGCGTGGCCATCATTGAGACAGACCTAGAACAGCTCTGGGTGGAAGGTGAGTTGTGGATACTAGTCATAGCTGCTTGGGTATGGTGAGCCCAAGACAAGAACAGGGTGAGGAGCTGGCTACTGAGTTCTAGGGGCTTCGGCCCTGGGTCTGGAGAGGGTACATGCCTGCCAGAGCCTGGGCATCTGGGAGCAGTACTCCCTCCCACACTTGTAAATGGACATGTGCAGATGATGGAGTCCTGTGAATAGGTCTATAGAATAGTTACCTGTGAGCTTGTGTGTCTGTGTGTTTGTTTAGCAATTATTACCAACTTTTTATGTGTGTTTTTTTTACTGCATGGCAGTGTTTGCAAAGGCAACCAAAATCTTTCAGTAGCAAGGAGAGTAAAATATGTGCTGCAATATAACATACAGTAGAATATAGAGCAGAGTATGATTACTTGAGTAAGATAAGGCAGGGAGAGATCACAGCTGATCAGGAGAGTCAAGAAAATTACAACTGGGCTGGGGAAACTGAGTAAATCATCTGGCAGGCCTCCATGGAGAGGTCCCATGCACCTAGAGTCCCGTGCACCGAGGCCCCCTGCAACCATTTAGTAGAAAAAAAGTGGCGCAGGGTCTACACTTTGAGGCAACAGCGAGGTCAGATGCAACCAAATCCTCACTTCCTAATGGAAGCATTAGGTAAAAATGATTTCTTATTAATAATTTTGGCATAACCCTCCTTTCCTGGGGGCTGGTTTCATATGCTAGCCCTTCAATAGAGTCAAACTCTCCTCTGTTCTTTCCTGGGAAATTTGCATTGGTGGGTCCCCCCAAACCTCCCCCAGACCTGGCCCACACCCAAAGGCAGGGCCAGGTTAGAATCTCACACCCTTGAGTTATTTCAAATGCTGGCAAGCCCTAGGATGCAGAGCAGATGTTTCTTGGAGCCTGCCTGCCTGCCTGTTGGGCTCCCACACCCCATCCCCACCCTACCCCAGCCCTCTGCAGGCTCACACATCCATACGCACTCTAGGCCAGCCCTGGGGTCCAGAGCAGATGTTTCTCTGTGCCTGCCTGCCTGCCTGCCCCCAGCCCCAGGACACACATGTGCATACATGCACACACACATACCCCCACCCACACCGCAGCTGCCTGGGTGGTCCCAAATGACTGTTGGATTTCCTGCCACAATAGAAGCTGTCTTCCCCCTCTTCCTCCTTCTTCATTTCCCAGATCTTTCCCATCTAAACATGGCTTGAACCTCCATGTTCCTCATCCTCTCTCCTGCTCTCCAGCACAGGACAGGCTAGATCCCACTGGATCTTTGCTGCTGTTTGTGGATGGGTGATGTAAAAGGGTGGTGGCCTATTCCGAGGCCTTTTTCCTTTCTTTCAGAATACTGCTGTGTCCCGTATCGGCTAGGGCTGGGGTGAGGTAAAAGCAGTGATCCTGACCTGATTTCTTCTCTGTACATCCGTAGTTGAGGCTTCTCCCAGCCATGCCCTAGGCAACGAGGAGCTGATCAAGGCGAAGACTAAAGAGTATTCTCTATTCCTTTCCTGTTTTGCTAATACGGAAAGCAAAGAAAGAAGCAGGACACTGGCAATCAGAGTTCAGGGTCCCCTCCAGCTTTGCCATGGTGAGAGACAGAATGTGACTCGTCCTTCCCGATCAATTGTAAAGCTAAAAGGCTCAGAGATAGATTGATCTCTAAAATAAATAAATAAATAAATAAACAAACCAACCAACCAAAAAAACCCCACAACATTATAGCCCAACTAGTACCTACAGGAACAATGACTGAGATGGCTTGAAATTGGAGCTGTCCCTGAAAACAAGGGACATGTATCTAGAAGGCAGGGTGAAACATATCAATTGATGGAACCACTATCCACTCAAAAACCCAAGGCTGAAACCTTGGGAGTCAGCCTCAGTTCTCCTTGCTTACCTAACTGGTTACTAAACCAGCAAATTCTTCTTTCTTGACTTCTCTCATAACAGACCCCTCCTTTTCACCCTGTGGCCATTGCTCTAGTTGAGGCCTTTCTCAGTCTCTGGTCGTACACTCCTGATTATATCATTTACTATGCTTTTCGCCACATGAAAGAGGAAAAAAGGGAGGGAGGGAGGGAGGAAGGAAGAACAGGAAATCTGGTAGTAGACAGAGCAGTTCCAGGATGGTTAATTCAGCAACCTAAGGACATCAGCAAGGACCCAGGTTCTTCCTTTCTCCTAAGCCTTCTTCAGCATGTGGGGCTTTTGTCCTCAGGCTTATCACCTCCTTGTCCCAAGTGGCTACTGCAATGGTCCCTTTTTGGAAGTGAGGGAAAATTTACCAGAAGCCCCCCAGCTGACTTCCCATTTGGTCACTTTGGCAAGAACTGTGGAGCTATGCCTAAACCGTTCACTTGGCAAAGGCAGTGGAATTACTGTGATTGACTAATCAAATTTCAGCCCCTGAGGCTGGGGAGGGATCCAGCTTCTCTGAATCACTGGGCCTTTCAGAGGATGGCCAACAAAATCAAAGTCTGTTAGAGAAGTGACCAATCTTCTGCAGGACTCACCTTCTGATCTGTCTCCACACTGCCCTCCTGTGGTGTATCTAAATCTGGCCAAGTCGGTCCCCTGCTTAGAGCCCTTCCACCAGTTTCTACGAGGTTCTGGGCAGTCTCCAGAATCAAGTTCAAGCTCCTTAGCAAACATTCTAGGCCCTCCGCAACCTAACTCTTGATTTCTTCTCCAGCATTGTCTCTGCCTCACTCAGCAATGCTGAGCCTTTGACAGTTCCCTACACCTACTTGGTCCAGAATGCCTTTTCCAGACTTCTTCCCTTGGCCAATTCCTATTCATTCACAGCTCAGCTCCAGAATGTATTGTTAGGTGATGAAAAAGTCAGGTCACCTCACTTCTCTGCTCAAAACCTACCATGGCTCCCAATTCACTCAGAGAAGGACTGCATCACTACAATAGCTTACAGCCCTTACATGTAAAATTTCTGGACCAAAGATTATGAACATTTCTCATTTCCAAATATCATACCAAATTACACTCTGGTGGTAGGTTAGAGTACACTCCTATAAGCCAGCAATGAAGGCCATCATTATTTTTATTTTGGCTAAATTGATAGATGGTAATTTATTGCTGTTTTAATTCATATTACCTATAATATAGGATTATATATATTACCATTGTAGGATTACCTATAACGTGGATTCATTTTCCATGCTGGCTAACAAGTTATAGTCTCCCTTTTGTAAAGGTACAAGTTTTTATTTTATTTTTTATTTTTTCATTTTTTTTTTTAAGATTTTATTTATTTATTTATTTAACAGAGAGAGACAAAGAGAGGGAACACAAGCAGGGGGAGTGGGAGAGGGAGAAGCAGGCTGCCCGCCGAGCAGGGAGCCCAATGCGGGGCTCGATCCCAGAACCCTGGGATCATGACCTGAGCCGAAGGCAGACGCTTAACGACTGAGCCACCCAGGCGCCCCCAAAAGTTTTTAAAAGATGTGTTGATTTTGATGTCTCCTTCCCCTGTTCTCCTCCTTCCTCCCCACTCAGTCTTTTTTGCTCCAGTTCTTTCTCATTTTTCTGTCCCACAATCTCTTTCCCAGCAACCATTTAATAATAATTCCTTATCTGTTCCTACTTTGTGCTGGGCAGTTAAGTACTTTACCTGCATTGATTCTAATTCCACCAAGGTAGGCCCTATCCCCATTTGGCAGATGAGGAAATTGAGGGCAGAGAGACTAAGTCATTTGCCCCAAGCACAGGCTAAATGTCAGAGCCCAAGCTCAAGGCCAGATGTGTCCAGGGCCTCTGGGTTCTCCCTTACACCTGCTGTCTCTCCTTGCCCTCACAGTACATCCCAGTTCATCTGTCCTCATGTCTGTCATCATCACTGTTGTCAGCTGAGGTTTACTTTTTCCTTTGCCTCATTTTTTTCTGAGGATTCTTTATTTTCTTTGATGCTGTATTTTACATTTCCAGTGTTTCTTTCTCTTGCTTTCTTGATAGCTCTTTCTGGGTTCCTTCCTTCTCCTGTGCCTCCCTCCCCTCAGCAAACTCACTTACTATGAGGAGCTTATTTCTGTCCCCTCCTGTCCCTCCTTGTGGCACCTCTGGCCTAAGCCTGGTGAAATAAACACTGCAGTGCAGGCCTGGGGAGGGGTGGGGAGTCAGGGAAGGAAGAAAATGGTGGACGTGCGCAGCATGGTTTAGTAAGACTGTATTTGTGAGGGAGGGCCAGGAATGTGATTTGAATGGGGAGGTGTGAGCATCTGGGTAAATTTGTGTGTGGCAGTGGGGGTTACTAAGGGTGTGCAGCTCTCACGAGTGAGGAGACTATATGGGTTTGAAAAAGAGATTGGGGAGCACGACGATCACAGGTGGGGCTGGAGTCTCACAGAAGGTGTACGTGTGGGCCCCAGGGGTGGCAGGAACCCAGCAGGAAGAGGCCCCGGATGTGTGGCAGCAGAACTGGGCCTAAGACCAGACCAAGTCCAGAAAGCCTCAGCGGTGGTTTGGCCCTTGCCCTTGCCCTCCTCCAAACCCCACTCAGGCCATGTCCCCTCACAGCACCCCTGCCCACCCACCCCCCACAATGCAGGACTGGATGGGTGCCGAGATCAAGGAGCTTGAGGCAGGCCTGGCACTGGGCCTCCCTGTTGCCCGGACAGTGAGATCTGGGGTCTGGAACCCTTTCTTCCCCTTGGCCCACGTTGATGTCACCTCTGCCAGGTGATCCCAGGTACTTCTTACATGAGTAGAAGCAGCATGTTGACAGCATCCCACTGAAGTCTGTCTGATCCCCCCCCCCGCCTGTGCCCCCACAGGGCCCATTATTACCAGACACTGCCATCCCTACCCTCTTGGCATAACAATTTGCAAAAAGATGTATGGCTAGAAAGCACCTGCCTGAGACAGCCTGACCCAGGAACCAGCCCCAGCACTAGACCTGCTCTGTGAGGAGACCCTCCCGTTGGCAGCCTCCCTATTGATCCCTTTTGTCCCTCCTTGTCTTCCTCACCAGAACACAGAGGGGCTGAGTGAGGGCTCCCTTACCGGGATACCTCCGTAACCCCAGCCCTGGCCCAACTCCTACTGACCTCTCATTTTGAAGTAATTTGCCCCACACCGAGCCATCCTGGTTCCTGTTTAAATCTTAGACGACACAAGAATTCCATCCAGCTGAGGTGTCTCTCACTTGCACGCAAAGCTCCAGATTCTAAGCGGAGTGCCAGGAGCTTGGGGAGTCAGCACGACCATCAAGGAAAAAGCAGGGGTTCCTCTCAGAGCACTTCTCCCACTCGTCGTGGGAGGCCTCAGCCGGCGAGGGTCCCACAGCCCCAGAGCTCGGACCCCAGCTTTCTCTCTCTGCTCTGGCAGTGGGCAGCCGGGTGAGCCAGGAGTTACATTACACCAAGGAGAAGCTGGGGGACGAGGCTGCATACACCTCCCAGATGTTGATACAGACCCCACTCCAGGAAGGGGAGAATATCCTCACACCTGAGGCACTTGGCCTCCACCTCCAGGCAGCCCTCACCGCCAGTAAAGTGCAAGTATCACTCTATGGAAAGTGAGTCTGGCTGAGTCCCCGAGCAGCTGGGAGTGAGGCGCGCTGTGGCAGGGCTGGCGTGGGAATCCGCCTCTTCTGCTGATCCCTTGCGCCCTGGCCATTTCAGGTCCTGGGATTTGAACAAAATCTGCTACAAGTCAGGAATTCCCCTAATTGAAAATGGAATGATTGAGCGGGTGAGTGTCCTGAGCTGTTCTTTGAGACTGGGCCGAGGGAGAACTTTTTCTGCAAGTAGCGGGGGGCTCTGAGAGACGGGGAGGTTAAAAGTTGGGAGGTGGGGGGTTACCGAGGGCATCCTACAGAGACTGTGGAGAAAGGAGCCCAGGGACAGGACTGATGTGGCCTGGGCTGTCCCTGGCAGATGATTGAGAAGCTGTTTCCGTGCGTGATCCTCACCCCCCTCGACTGCTTCTGGGAGGGAGCCAAACTCCAAGGGGGCTCCGCCTACTTGCCGTGAGTGCCCCACAGCCACTCCCGGGCCCTGCTTCAGCTAGGCCGGGACGCCCGCCCAGAAGAGAGGGTGGGCATAAAGAGGATGATCAAAACCTTACTGAGGGCCTAAGCCACCTGTTAGGCCAGGGCCAGAGCACAGGATGCCCCACAGCTCTCTCCACATCCCCCTTCTCCTGGCCTCTGAAGGAAAGGCAGACTTGTCTTATTTAGACAAAACAGAACAAAGAGAAAAAAAGATCCCCAGAAAGCGACTTTGCCCAAGAGAGTTAACTAGGTATGAGCTAAGCTGTTGCACAGGCCAGAAAGAAAAGCTGTTAGAGGCAGGTGTCCACGTGGTTATGTATTAGAACCAAAGGTGGATGGCTTGGGCAGGGACTGGGTGGGGCTCTTCCGGCCTTTTCCATGTATTAAGAACTGTCCATCCTCATGTCCATCTCAGTGCAGCCACCTGGCAGACTGGTGTAGCCTGGGAGTTCTGGGAAGCTCAGCATTGCAGACCCTTCATACAGAGCGATGAATGAGCAGCTAGGAGGAGGGTGGGGTACAGCAGGGGTCCCCAGCAGCATTTTGGAGGGTGGGAATTGATCCTTTACCCTCACCAACCACGGGCTCTCCCCTCAGCGGCCGTCCTGACATCCAGTGGACCAACCTGGATCCAGAGCAGCTGCTGGAGGAACTGGGCCCCTTTGCCTCCCTCGAGGGCTTCCGGGAGCTGCTAGACAAGGCACAGGTGGGCCAGGCCTATGTGGGGCGGCCCTGTCTTCACCCTGACGATCTCCACTGCCCGCCTAGTGCCCCTAACCATCACGGCAAGCAGGTGGGTGCCAGCCAGGTTTGCTGGCCAGGTTTGCCAGGGAAAGGCTGTTTTCCTTCTCTTTCCCCTCCTCATGTGTTCCTCTATTCTGGGAGAGAGCAAATTGTGCTCTGTGCTCTGCCTCCCATTTCCTGGACATTGTTACCCTGCCCCCATTCTGCTAGATGCCTAGACTCTTCCCTTCCCATTCAGTTTTCCTAAGGAACCCTCACGTGGTATATGAATCCCTTTGTACTTTTCTAAGCCCAGGAACGCTGGACTTCATCCAAGCAGACTTGTACAGAGAAACTGAGGACAAATGAGCTAAGCACAAGTATCATATCTAGTTTCCTGAGTGTCTCTGTGGCCCTGTGAAGTGAACCTTTTTCCAAAACCCACCAAAGTTACTCCAGCTCTTCCCAGAAGCCTATTTCCAGGCCTCTGCTTCCGCTTGTGGCCTCCTCTCTGCAGGACAAGAGCTGTTCACTTTCAGAGTAGGCGAGAGGCTCAGGAGAATAGTTATGTCCACATCAGGCTACAGAGCCCCACGGCAGGCGTGGCTCCTGGAGGTACCATCCCAGGGGCCCCCAGTTACCCACAGCCAGGGCCTCTCCTGTCCCCCTCCAGGCTCCCAATGTGGCTCAGGAGCTGAGTGGGGGCTGCCACGGCTTCTCCCACAAGTTTATGCACTGGCAGGAGGAATTGCTGCTGGGGGGCATCTCCAGAGACCCCCGAGGACAGCTGCTGAGGTAAGGCCTCCCTGGGGGCTGGCAAGGGGGCCCCAGGCATGGGAATCCGCGCTCTGATTCCAGGCGGCTCCAGCAACCCCCCCCCCGCCCCGTGCAGCCCCCGTTGGGAGCTCCGGCCCGCTCTGACCCCCAGCTCTCCCCTACCCGCCGCCAGGGCGGAGGCCCTGCAGAGCACCTTCCTGCTGATGAGTCCACGCCAGCTGTATGAGCACTTCCGAGGCGACTACCAGACGCATGACATCGGCTGGAGCGAGGAGCGGGCCGGCACAGTGCTGCAAGCCTGGCAGCGGCGCTTTGTGCAGGTCCGGGCGGAGCTGGGCAGGGGCGGTGCCCTGAGGCCGCCCCCTCCTGCCCCTCACATCCACCCCGTCTCTCCAGCTGGCTCAGGAGGCCCTGCCTCAGAATTCATCGCAGCAGATCCACGCCTTTTCCTCCACCACGCTGGATGACATCCTGCACGCCTTCTCTGAAGTCAGTGCTGCCCGCGTGGCAGGAGGCTATCTGCTCATGGTGGGTCCTGCTCCCGGCGCCCTGCCCCGCCGCCGCCCGGTGCCCCCCGGGAACTGCCGTGCGAGCCTGTGCCCTCTCTCCCCACAGCTAGCCTATGCCTGTGTGACAATGCTGCGCTGGGACTGTGCCCAGTCCCAGGGTGCGGTGGGCCTTGCAGGGGTGCTGCTGGTAGCCCTGGCAGTGGCCTCGGGCCTTGGGCTCTGCGCCCTGCTTGGCATCGCCTTCAATGCCGCCACTACCCAGGTACACCAGGACTCCAGGGCAGACTCGGGGCCCACGGTCCAGGCGACTCGGTTCCTCCACCTACCCCCCCGTGCCCCTCCAGGTGCTGCCCTTCCTGGCACTGGGCATCGGTGTGGATGACATATTCCTGCTGGCACATGCCTTCACAGAGGCCCCCCCTGGCACCCCCCTCCAGGTGAGGCCTCATCCTCCAGCCTGGGCTCGTCTGAAGCAGCTCATCATAGAGCCTCTTGGTCAGGGCGCCCGGGGGGCTCAGTGGGCTAAGTGTCCGACTCTTGATTTCGACTGAGGTTTTGATCTCAGGGTCCTGGGATCGAGCCCCGTGTTGGGCTCTGCTCTCAGCGGGGAGCCTGCTTGAGATTCTCTCCCTCTGCGCGATCCCCCTGCTCATGCTCGCCCACGCTTTCTCACTCTCTCTCAAATAAATAAATAAATGTTTAAAAAAAAAAAAGAGCCTCTTGGCTTAGGGGACCTTAGGCTGGTAACCTGTCTGTGCCTCAGTTTCTCATCTGTAGCAGGGTGACGATAGTGCTTGTGTCGTGAGGGTGTGGTGAGGATCGGTGCTAACTCCGGCTGAATGCTTGCAACAGTGTGCGTGACGTGTGTGAGCTACTCCGTAAGTGTGAGCTGCCGTGTGGTTACTGTCGCCCCTCTGCCATCTCAAGCTCCCAAGCCTCCCCTCCGCTCTACCTTGGGGACCCACGGCTCCTCCCCTGTCCTGACAGGAGCGCACAGGTGAGTGTCTGCAGCGCACGGGGACCAGCGTGGCGCTCACGTCCATCAACCACATGGTGGCCTTCTTCATGGCCGCCCTCGTTCCCATCCCTGCACTGCGGGCCTTCTCCTTGCAGGTGAGGCCTCAGCAAAGGGCCCCGTCGCCCGGTGGGGGCAGCCTGAAGCCGGGGGCCTGCTTCACCCAGCCTTTGCATCCCCCCGTCCTTCCCCCAGGCAGCCATAGTGGTCGGCTGCAACTTCGCAGCCGTGATGCTTGTCTTCCCGGCGGTCCTCAGCCTGGACCTGCGCCGGCGCCACTGCCAACGCCTTGACGTGCTCTGCTGCTTCTCTAGGTACTGTCCCTGCGTCCCCACCCCCGGCCCGCCAGCCCTCACCTCCGGGGCCCCGCCCCGTCCCCTCACCGGCACCCTCACAGACCTGTCATCCGCGCTCTCTGCCTCTTCCAGGCCCTGCTCTGCTCGGGTGATTCAGATTCTGCCCCGGGAGCTAGGGGATGGGACAGGACCAGTGGGCATTGCCCACCTGACGGCCACAGTTCAAGCCTTCGCCCACTGCGAAGCCAGCAGCCCGCATGTTGTCACCATCCTGCCCCCCCGGGCCCGCTTGGTGCCCCCACCTTCCGACCCACTGGACTCTGAGCTCTTCAGCCCAGGAGGGTCCACACGGGACCTCCTAAGCCAAGAGGAGGGGACCAGGCAAAAGGCAACCTGCAGCTCCCTGCCCTGTGCCCGCTGGAGTCTTGCCCATTTCGCCCGCTATCAGTTCGCACCCTGGCTGCTCCAGGCGCACAGCAAGGTGAGGCCCCAGGCCTGGAGAAGTGGGGGGGAGCCAGGGCAGAGGCTTAGGTGTGTCTGGGCCCCCAGAAGGGCAGAGGGCCGAGCCCGCCACCTGAGCGCGCGGGGCGGGGGTGGGGGGGCATCCCTGGGCCTCCAGCTTGGTTGCCGTTTCCCACAGGCCATGGTGCTGGTGCTCTTTGGGGCTCTTCTGGGCCTGAGCCTCTACGGAGCCACGCTGGTGCAGGACGGGCTGGCCCTGACGGATGTGGTGCCTCGGGGCACCAAGGAGCATGCCTTCCTGAGCGCCCAGCTCAGGTACTTCTCCCTGTACGAGGTGGCCCTGGTGACACAGGGTGGCTTTGACTACGCCCACTCCCAACGCGCCCTCTTTGATCTGCACCAGCGCTTCAGTTCTCTCAAGGCCGTGCTGCCCCCCCCTGCCACCCAGGCGCCCCGCACCTGGCTGCACTATTACCGGAACTGGCTACAGGGTGAGAGGCAAGGCAGTTGGCAGGGAGGGCTGCCGCAGGCCCGAGCCCCTGGGGCCACAGGCTAATGCACACTCCCTCGTTCTCCCCTAGGGATCCAGGCTGCCTTTGACCAGGACTGGGCTTCCGGGCGCATCAGCCACCACTCGTGCCGCAACGGCTCCGAGGATGGGGCGCTGGCCTACAAGCTGCTCATCCAGACCGGGGATGCCCAAGAGCCTCTGGATTTCAGCCAGGTTGGAAGCGGGGCTGGAAGGGTCGGGATGCAGGGAGGGCCTCTAGGCCTCGTGGGCCCAGACCTTCAGCCCTCTCTGCCTCTGCAGCTGACCACAAGGAAGCTGGTAGATAAGGAGGGGCTGATTCCACCCGAGCTCTTCTACGTGGGGCTGACCATGTGGGTAAGCAGTGACCCGCTGGGCCTGGCGGCCTCACAGGCCAACTTCTACCCCCCACCTCCCGAGTGGCTACATGACAAGTATGACACCACCGGGGAGAACCTTCGCAGTGAGTCCCGAGGGGGTGGGGCGGGGGCCGGCGGGGGGAGCCCAGCAAGAGCCTCAGCCTGGGCCCACACAGGCCCTACCCTAAGGCCCTGCCCACTGCTCTCCGTGCTCACTGGCCACCCCCCCTTCCCTGCTACCCCTTAACCTCCACAGTCCCAGCAGCCCAGCCCCTGGAATTTGCCCAGTTCCCCTTCCTACTGCATGGCCTCCAGAAGACCGCAGACTTCGTGGAGGCCATCGAGGGGGCCCGGGCAGCGTGCGCCGAGGCAGGCCGGGCCGGGGTGCGTGCCTACCCCACCGGCTCCCCCTTCCTCTTCTGGGAGCAATATCTGGGCCTGCGGCGCTACTTCCTGCTGGCTATCTGCATCCTGCTGGTATGCACTTTCCTCGTCTGTGCCCTGCTGCTGCTCAACCCCTGGACGGCCGGCCTCATAGTGAGTCCTCGCAGGGATGAGGCGAGAGAGACCCATGGCTCCCCGACCCTGCCCCACCCTGCCCATCGTCCCTTCTCCCAGGAGCCCTGGGTGAGCCCTGCCTTCCCCAGGTACTGGTCCTGGCGATGATGACTGTGGAGCTCTTTGGCATCATGGGTTTCCTGGGCATCAAACTGAGTGCCATCCCCGTGGTGATCCTTGTGGCCTCTGTAGGCATTGGTGTTGAGTTCACGGTCCACGTGGCTCTGGTGAGCACAGGCACTGGGGGAGGGGTGGACCAGCTGATTCAGTATTCAACAAATATTTATTAAGCACCTACTATGTGCTAGGTACTATTTAAGAACTGGTTTCGAGTCCCTGTTCAGGCACACCCCCCCAAAAAAAGAATTGGGGATATAGGGGCGCCTGGCTAGCTCATTTGGTAGAGCATGTGACTCTTGATCTCAGGGACATGAGTTGGAGCCCCACGCTGGGTATAGAGATTACTTAAATAAATAAACTTAAAAAAAAAGAATTGGGGTGCAATAGCAATACAGACAGGCTTTACCTTCAAGGAGATTATATCCTATAGTGTAGAGATAAACAATAAACATATAAATAAATAAATAAGCAGCCATTTCAGCGGAGAGGAGGGGACAAAGGCCTGACCGAAATGGGGACAGAATGGAAGGTGAGAAAATGGGAACCAGTAGTTTTTTGGATGGTTTTACTGTGAAGGGATCAGAGAAACAGGATGGTAGCCAGATGGCAACGTGAGTAAAGGAGGGATTCTTCCGAGACAGAGCCTCGGCCTCTCCCAAAGCTCTGGGTTCTCTGGCCGAGGAGGAGTGGGAGCTGGGAGCACCGACACAAGGCTGGCTAGACCCCACAAACAGCTCCCTTCCTTTTCCCCCCATAATAGCCCTGTCCTTCTGATTACAAGAACGATATACACTCCCTGGAGGGGGGCAAAGTCAGCATGTGGAGAAGTACAAAGAAAGAATTAGAAATCCTCTGAAATCCCATCCGAACAAGTAACTGTGACCACTTTCGTGTCCATCCTGCTGGACTTCTGGACCGGGATCAGCAAACTTTTTCTGTAGAGAGCCGGACAGCAAATATCTTAGGCGTGGCAGGCCAGAGTCCCCACGGGCTCCTGCCATGGTAACACTGAAGCAGCCACAGACAATAATATGTCCATGGATGGATGCGTATGGCTGCGTGTCACCTAAACTTTATTTACAAAAACGGGTGACGGGCTTTGTTTGCCAACTATTCTAGACTTCTGGGTCTCACCGGATACGTATCCAGTGTTACCTAAATAGACTCATGCATACTTCCTGGACAGTTCCCAGCTCAGTCTACCTGGCCCGGGAGCCCTAGGGACAGATGAGAAGTTGGGGGCCTGGCTGGCCAAGGAGCAGCTACAGGGCCTCTCTGCCCCCACAGGGCTTCCTGACCACCCAGGGTAGCCGGAACCTGCGGGCTGCCTGTGCCCTAGAGTGCACATTTGCTCCAGTGACCGATGGGGCCGTCTCCACATTGCTGGGTCTGCTCATGCTTGCTGGGTCCAACTTTGACTTCATCATAAGGTAGGGGAGGGCTGGGGCGGGGAGGTGCAGCCTGCCTGCGCTGGCCACAGGGGCTGCCCGGGCTGACCACCTGCCCCCCACACAGGTACTTTTTCGTGGTGCTAACAGTGCTCACGCTCCTGGGCCTCCTCCATGGGCTCGTGCTGCTGCCCGTGCTGCTGTCCCTCCTGGGCCCCCCACCAGAGGTGACCATACCCTCCCCCCTGCTCCCAGCCCAGGGGATGGCGTGGGACAGGCGAGGGAAGAGTCAGAGCCAGAAAAAATATCTCCTCAGTGGCCAAAAGACAGGACTCAACTCACAAGGACCCTCCCTATGAGATCAGCTGAGGGTGGTAGCCTCTCCCTTGGCCCCAACACCATGTCCCTGCCCCTCAGCTTTCCTGGCTTCTTTATGGGACCCACCTTGGCGTTTAGGACCCACAGCAAGGTGCAGGGTTTGTCCTAGGCCTTAACGTCCTGTCCCTTGTCAGCTCTGGGTCCTTCTGGAAGCCAACAAGGGCAACAGCTTCCCAACGATCATGGTGACACACGAGTGAGCTGCTGAAGGGGACTAAGGTCCCGGGACCCCTGGGCTCACTGGGACTGGTATCTTCCCCCAGGTGGTACAGATGTACAAGGAGAGCCCAGAGGTCCTCAGCCCCCCAGCTCCACAGGAAGGAGGGCTCAGGTGGGGGTTGTCCCCCACCCTGCCCCAGAGCTTTGCCAGAGTGACTACCTCCGTGACGGTGGCCCTCCACCCACCCCCACTGCCTGGTGCCTACATCCATCCAGCCTCCGATGAGCCCCCTTGGTCCCCTGTTGCCACACCAGCTGCCAGCGCCCCTAGCAGCCTCAGTTCTAGGGGACCATGTCCAGCCACTGGGTGAAAGAGTGCCTGAAGCCTGGAGACCCTGCTTGGGCCACGTGAAGTCACTGGGAAGCAATGGGTGGGTTATTGACTGCAGGACGGACTCCCGGAGAGCCTGGCTGCCACTGTCCGCCTGCATGCCGTCCCCTGCCTTAGCCGTCCCAGACCTCCCTGCTGCCATTCGAGACCACCAGCCTCTGGGCTCAGAGCATCTCGCACGCCGGGTTCTGTGTGCCTGGGCCTGTCCGGGTGCGGGGAGAAGCCAGCAATTCGGGCTGCGGTTGGCCCTCCCCCCCCCGCGCCCCGCGCCACCCCCCCTTGCTACTGGCCCCTAGCAGACCAAGACGGAGGAGCCCTCTAGCACCCTTTGTGAGGCCTGGCCCCCCATGCTTGGTAACTCCTGAGTAGGCTGTCTGCATCTCTGTCCACATCCTACCACATAAATTATTTATATGAAGATGTTTATTTTTGTAGTTTGTATAGATGTTAGCTACGCTGAAAGTTCTATTTTTAAAGAGTGAAATATATTCTATATGAACTCATCTCAATTGACTTTGGTGCTTTTCTTTTGAACAAACGGGAGTTTGAGAGTAAAGAGATGTCCTAGTCTAAGTTCCTGGGGCTGCTCTAGTAGCACCTGGGAAAGGCCCCATTTTTGTCACGTAATTTGGGTCTATTTACTCACCTGGCAAGTGAAGATGATGTTCAGCAAACATGTTGATCATATAGTTGGTAAGAGGACCTGGGTTAAGTGCTTAGTATATGAAATGATACAAATGTTTTTGTTGTCAAACTCTACTGTGTGGCTTTCAGAGCTATCATAATCCAGCCCTGCACACCTCTCCAGCTCATTGCCCACCCTTCTGTTTCAGCAGCATGGGGGGCATGGGTGGAGGGCCAGAGCCAGGCAACAGGTAGAAGGTGAGGAGGAAGCAGATAGGGAAAGCAGCCAGCTGAAGCAGAGATGGAAATAGCAGGGTCTGGGGAGATATTTTAGGAGATTTATGTCTAGACCAACCTAAGGCAAGAGGCCTCTGCAAGTCAGCTGTCTGGTGCCCCAGAGGCATCTCTGGCCAGACAGCCAGGGGATGGATGAGTGCGGGAACTGTTCAGAAATTGAGATTGTGCTAGCAGCCAATGAGGTGCTGTATTTAAGCTGTTCGTTCTGTGATGTCATATAGCCCCACTGTACAGAGGCCTTGAAGATTCTGGCTACACCGCAGGCTAGAATAGAGTACCTCCCCCCTAGGAAGTGGGAGAGGCCTTTTATTGCCCTTCCCCAACTATTCCAGGGCTCAGTCTCAAGAGACACAAATATCCACCCTGTGCTCCAGTCACCCACTCACCAGGAACAACCCCACCTTCAGAGCACTGCCTTCTCATATCCCTCCCACCAGGCTAAAGGCCAGAAAATCACGTTCCGACTAAATATGAAATTAATTAATTAAATACATAAACAAACTTACAGCAGTTGAATCAACACTAAAATACATAGGGGCACCTGGGTGGCTCAGTTGGTTAAGCGTCTGCCTTCAGCTCGGGTCATAGTCCCAGAGTCCTGGGATCAAGTCCCACATCGGGCTCCCTGCTCAGTGCGGAGCCTGCTCCCTCTCCCTCTGCCGCTCCCCCTGCTTGTGTGTGCTCGCTCTCTCTCTCTCTCTCGCTCTCTCTGTGTCAAATAAATAAAATCTTTTTTGAAAAACACTAAAATGGGGCGCCTGGGTGGCTCAGTTGGTTAAGCGACTGCCTTCAGCTCGGGTCATGATCCCAGGGTCCTGGAATCGAGCCCCGCATCGGCCTCCCTGCTCCTCAAGGAGCCTGCTTCTTCTGGAGCCTGCTTCTCCCTCTCCCTCTGCCTGCCGCTCCACCTGCTTGTGCT